CTACAGTCACAATATTCAATGAGAGATCTTGTTTGTTACTGTCATTCCCATTCCTTTTCGTTTAGAATCAGAATAAAGTTGTATTTCAAATATCTAAAAAAAAAATAGATTGTTTTTCTTGATTATCAAGTACATGTCCATTGTAGAAATTTCTTAAGACACAGATAAATATAAAGAAAATTGAAATCATGACTGTTAACACTTTGATAAATTACTGATTAGTCCTTTTAATATGCATTTTAACATTTTTTACCTTGCTTCTTTCATTTAGACATTATATATGACTATTTTCCTTATGTAATTGAAAACTCTGTAAATACCATTTTAATAGTTGCATATCGTAGATCATCTATTAACATTTACTTAATTTTCCTATTGTTGACATCTCTTATTTCAAATTTTTATCATAATACCGTGATGGACATCTTTGTGTGGAAAGATTCTTGCACCCTTTGTTTCAAGTGATTTTCTTAGGATAGAGCCCTACTTGTAGACTTATGAAATCAGAGGAGAAACAAATAATGCTATAGCTCTTAATGAATAATATCAAATTGCTTTCTGGGAAGTATGCATCAATTTACACTCTCATCAGTAGTGAATGAATGCCTTTCTCCACTCAATTCTTGCCACTCCTGAACCCTGTCATTTAAAAATCTTTGCTAATTTGATAGGTGAAAAGTTGTATCCCATTGCTATAATTGGCATTTCATTGATTAACTAATGAGGTTGAAGAACTGTTAATCAAATATTCATTTGTCAGCCATTTGTGGTATATTTTGTTTGTAAATTATGTATTCATAAATTTGCTCATTTAAGCCACAGTTTTATCCAAATTCCTTAATGTGTGTTTGTTTAGGAAAACCGGAACAGCTTACATAAAAAAAATATTGCAACATAAAACTTCTGAAGGATTTTTGTCCTCAGTTATTGCAGAAATGGTAGACCCTTTTGGAATAGAAGATGTGAGTGAGAGCTCTTGTTTGTCTAGTTCTCTTTCCATCAATCAAGAGGGAAACTTCTGTAATCTTACTCTTCAAATGCAAAGTAAGTATAATAACATAACATGCCTCTTGTGGCTAGTAAAAATGAAGTTATTTGAGAAGACTGTTCAGTAGATTTCAAAATTTAGTCCAACTGGTAATCTACAGAAGTCTACATCTACTAAAGACTAGAGGAATTTTTCATTTTTGATATAATTAAACCTTGCTATGACATCACTGATATTTCATCAATAGTAGGACCTATCATTTATTCCCACCTTTTTGTATTAAACAGTATTCAGGAGAAATGAAAGAAAATAGGAAGTCCATGCAGATTTTGCTCTCCATAATAAAATAACTTTGAATCACTGTTATGTAGGATATTTGTATTTCAAAGGATAATATGATAGGTACATAGTAAAAGCTAGTATAATTCATTGTAAGAATTTGAGTTTTACTCCAAGTAAATGGGAAGCCATTGGAGGGTTTTGAGCAGAAAGTGACCTAATTGGACTTAGGTTTTAACAAGATCACTTAGGCTGCTGTGTTGAGAATAGACTGGGCAGGTAATGGCGAGAAGGCAAGAAGGAAAGCAGAGAAATCAGGAGGCTATTACAATAATGGGGTGAGGGATCATATTAAATTTAAGATGCCTGTTACTCATCTGAGTAGAGAAATAAGGTAGATATTTGGTAAGACAAATGTGGAGTTCAGTAAAGACATCTGGACTGGACAGGTAAATTTGAGGGCCCGCATATGTGTGATAGTTAGTGTTATGACACTAGATGAGATCACCTGGAAAATGAATGTAGATATAGAAAGGAAAAGATCTGAGGTCCAATCGCTGGCATTCCAACAATTAGTGGTCCAGGAGATGGGGAAGAAGCAGTCAAGGAGATTGGATGATCTGCTCTGAGGAGAACTGAGTGAAGATGTTTCAAGGAGAGAGGACTCCTGTTAGATGCTATCAATGGGTCAAATAAGATGAAAAAAGAAAGATCCCCTGGCCAGGGGATCTGTGTGAAAGTCGTTGGTAACCTTGACAAAAGCTGTTGTTGGGTAGAGTAATGTAGACCAAAGTCTGATTGGATTAGGTTCAAAAACTTAGGAGAGGAGAGGAATTGAAGACCATGAATAAAGGCAGCTTAAGGAATTTTGCTCTAAGGAGGAGGAAATTATGTGGCAGTTGGAGGGAGTGTAAGAAAGGATTTTTGTCTAAAATGGGAGAAATTAGAGCATGTGTGCGTCATAAAGGGAATTATGAGGTTCCTTCTAACTACTACTATTTATTTTTTTCAGAATGAGGTGAATATTGTTGATATGTTCTAAGACCTATTAAAAGCATTTGATAATGAAAAAAGAAACATTTGATAATGATTCCCTCCCTTTCCTTGAAACAGCCTTCTTTTGGTTTTCCTCATATTCTATGTCATGGATTTTTTTCCAGTCATTTCTTCTCTGTCTGCTTTGTGGAATCATTTCCCCTTCCGTTCCTTAAATGCCAATGTCCCTTATGCCCTAGAGCCTCTTTTCGTCTAAATCTTCATGCTCTCCTTAAACAATCAATTATTCATCCATTCAGTAAATATTTATTGAACATCTTCTATATAATAGGCAGATTTTTAGGCACTGGGGAGACACTGGCCACATTATCCCTCTCTTGTAGAATCACAATAAAGATTCTAGGTTTTTAAGGCTTTTGGCAGTTTTACAAGGTCTGACAATTAAGTTTGCAAACTCATCCTAGAAAAAGTGCTACACACCTCATTGCTGAATATCACTACAGTCCCCTTTGATGTACTCCCCTGGGGAAGCTATGCACCGACGCCAGCGCCTAGTTCACCCCTCAAAGCAATTTTGGAACTCTTTTTCTGGAATGGCCATCAGAGCTGTCATTGCATTACCCTTGATGTCCTGAGTGTCATCAAAATGTCTTCCTTTCAATATTTCCTTTACCTTTTCCTTTATCCTCCAGGATGCTTGGAGAACATTGGCTCTTTTATTTTATATCAAATCATTCCTGTTTTAGCTCCAGGTGTTGTTAGTTCCTCATTCCAAGATTCGGATATAGAGAAGACTGTGGTGATCCCGGGTTACAGCAGCTTCCTGATCACACGCATTGTAGATGCTAAGAATGCTTTAGCTATTGCTACCATGCCCAGAAGAATACCCAACGGTATGACTTTTGTAAAAGACTCCTGGTTCTTATACAACTTTGGGCAGAGGAATGGCCGAACATGGACTATATATGCAAAACCATGCAATTATTGGTTTCAGCAACATGACGATTCACTATCCCTCAATGTCCTGAAATACATTGATCTGGGGAAATCGCAGTCTTTAAAAGTCAAGGTCATACCTAATAAAAAAGGTAAGTTTATTTTTATTGGGAAACATCAAAAGGCAATGTGTTTGCTTTCCTTGAATGTGAAATAACAGTCTTTGATATTTTCTTTATTTTTGGTTTCCATAGCATTCTACTAATACTAGTATTAGCTTCTAATTATTGGGCACTTACTATGTGCAATGCTCTATATGAAGTGATTTTTTTATACATCTTTTAATTTTATGTTTATAACAACCTTATAAGGCTAGACTATAATCCCCATTTTACAAATGAGGAAAATGAGGTTAAGTTAGCAGCCCAAGTTTACAGGGATTTTAGTTTGGATTATTGCTTTCCTCTGAAAAGAAAACCTTTCAATTACCTTGAATTGTTATAATTATTTTAAGTGTTGAAATATAATTCTATACTTTCCCCCATTTTTCCAGATATTTATTTATTATAAAAGTAATAAAACTTATTAACAATGATGGAGAAATGGCATAATGGAAAAAAATACAACAAAAACTTTCAGGAAATAACTGAGCTAGAAAGAAAGAAGAGAAAGGTGGAAGGAAGGGAGGGAAAGAGAAGAAAATCTTGTCACCAGAAATGAAGAGGTGACAAGCCAAAAAACTAGCTAATATGTGGCTCTCTGAAAGACATGAGGCTCAGATGTAGACTATATAGGCAGTGGATGGATTTAATGTCCCAGCCTTGGCAGAGATGTGGCTTTGGGCCTTTCCACTTTTTGATAGCAAACTGGAACTGAGACCATTAAATAAAACTGGTACCGTCTATGAAGAAAGGATTAGTAAAACTCTACATACCAACCCCAAAAAAAGAGCTAGGGAGGTTATCATCTCCATGGGGTGCAAAGTGAAGAAAAAGAATCTCCAAAGAAACCCCAAACTCCAAGACAGTGTAACATTAGAGAGTACCCACCAGATGCAGGAATCTTAAGCTGAGAAATAATTATAATCCCTGGGCACCAGCATAAGCCAGCACAAAACCCTCTGTAGGAATATTTTCATAACCCAGGTAATATGGACTTCCATGGAAAAAAAAATCATTGAGCATGAGTTGAGGAAAATAATTTTAAAACTATGTAAGGAAACAACCCAACAGGCATAGGAAATTTAATCTCCAAGAATTTGAGATAATAGAAAAATCAGAAGGACACTATAAAATAAGCATACGTAAAACTCCTAAAGAGAGGAAAAAAGATACATGAACCATAATGAAAGGACAAAACACTATTTTTAAAAGAGGCTTATTTGGAAAACAGAACCAAATACAATTTATATAAATGAAAATCATAGGCTTTGAAAAAAAAATTGGAAGACATCTATTTCTATTTCTGTCATACTGTGAACTAAATATCCTAAAAAACTTCTTTCTGAAACCCTTAGAATTCTTTCTCATGATTATAATACTATTTGTCCATATTTCTTTTAAGTAATTTTAGAATATTAATTTTATGGGCTTAACTTTCTATTTAATTCTTTAATTTATCTAGATTTTGTTTTGGTGTATTGTATATGGTTAACTAGTTGTTCCAACATCATGTATTGAACAGTGTATCCTTTCTTCACTGATTTCAAAATATGACTTTATCCTGGTATACAATTTACCTATTATTTTTACCATTTCTAGATTTTAAAATTCTGTTCCTTTCTTATCTCTTTATATTCCGGCCCAAATCCCACAATGTTCTAATTATTTTAGCTTTAAAATGTACCAAATTAGTTGTTAAATGGTGCAATCAGTTTTACTCATTGAGCCTGATGGAACCAAATAGTAATCAGCAAATCAACTCAATTGCCTTCTTGTGAAGAAAAGCCTAGTTCGTGCTGCTAAAGGAATGTCCCTGGACGAGCCACATCAGCATCACCTGGATGCTTATCAGAAATGCAGTTCTTTGTGGTTCCATACGAATTTTAGGGTTATTTTTTTTTCTGTTTTTGTGAAAAATCCCATTGGAATTTTGATAGGGATCTCATTGAATCTGTAGACTGCTTTTGGTAGTATGGACATTTACAATATTAATTCTTGCAATCTGTAAACATAGGTAAAGAGGTTCTTAGACCCGATTTAAACGAGGAGGGAATTCCCCACACAGCAAGCAATGTTCCAGACACCAGCTGGCTATCCTACAATTTAACTAGTTGAGACACTGTCTACCCAGAGATAGGATCAGATTCCACGGGTTAAGGGTTCAGTCCCACAAAACTGCCTCCAACCGCTCACACACACACACTTCAGATTCCAGTGGCAAGGCCAAACTGTTTCCTGTGCTCCTTACTGACTGGCTACAGGTCGGAACAATAGAAAAATCAGAAGGACAATCTGATTTTTCTCCTCGGGTTCGAAATAGAGGGTAGAATGCTGGTTGCCAGGGGCTGGGGGTGGTGGGGGGGAAAAGGGCGATGTCAGTCAAAGGGTACAAACTTCTAGTTATAAAATGAACAAGTTCTGGGGATGTATAGCATGGTGACTACAGTTAATAATGCTGTACTATATACTTGAAATTTGCTAAGAGAGTACATCTTAAGCATTCTCACCACACACACACACACACACACACACACACACACACACACACACAGATAAGTATGTGAGGTTGTGGATGTGTTCATTAACCTAGTTGTGGTCATCATCTCACAGTGTACACGTATATCAAATCATCACCTTATACACTTTAAACGTACACGATTTTATTCATCAATTATACCACAATAAAGCTAGGAGGGGAGGGAATGTGGACTATCAGCCCCCACCCCAGACCTGCTAAATCAGAATCTGCATTTTAAGAAAATCCCCAGTGATAGTCTAGGAAGCACTGGCCGGGCCACTCTGGCTGAATGGCAACTGCTGCAGGTGAGACTTGAGGCAAATCAATTACTCCTTCACATCCCTGATTTACTGATTATTAAAGATGGCACTTAGACTACATGGTCTTTCAAATCTCTTTTTCCATTAAATGTCTCAGTATGGAGAGACTGCAAACAGGTGGCCCACAGGCAGAAATTGCCCTGGTGTCACTGAGTTAACTGCCTAGGGGTTTTCTCTTGGTGACAGCAGTTGCCTAACAACCCTTTACATTGAGCATGCACTCTTCAGCTCTCTGCCAAGTTATCCAACTCAGTGTGACCTAACTGACTGATCTTTCTATGCATTTGGGAACCTGGCTGAGGAATGAAGGGTGTTGGGCAGCAATACTTCCGGGAGAAAATATTTGCGAAGTTAAATGTTTCTAAGAACTATTAAAGTTAACTCTATGTAGATTCCTAACTATACTTTTGCAGCCATTAGGCAGCCTTCGTAAAAGGCTCCATAGATGCTCTGGAATCCTGACTAGCCCATCATTATTAAAGTGTTTAAATGTTTCATGATTTAATATTAACCGTCGGCCTTGTTTCTGTAGGTATTCGAACCCTTGAAATACCGCTACTGAAAGTCATTGTTGGAAACCCAACTTTGTTGGAAGTTAATGCTGAAGGCTTTTTTGATGATACTGATAGTTATCTAATGAAAATTTCTGCAGCTAGCAAAGCTTTACATCAAGTAAGATTTTCTTTAAAAAAATGTATGAATTATAGAAAATTTAGAATATAAGCTGAGGAAAAGAAGGAAAAATTATACATCATCCTACCTATGAAGGATGACTAAGTACAATATTTTTAGCATTTTGGGTATTCTGGAAAGGCAGTGTGACAACGGAATAGAGGTTAAAAGGATGAGCTGTAGAAAGGACTACTTGAGTCAGATCTCATTTCTGGTACTGTCTGTGTGAACTTGGCAAAGTTACTTTACTGAGGCTAAGTTTCCTCATCTATAAAATGGGGATGGCAATAATAACACCTACCTCATAAGATTGTTCTGAGAATTAAATGTGATAATTCAAGTAGGGTGTCTAAAACATTGCCTGGCACGTAAAAAATACTCATTCACTATGAACTTACAGTATTTTCTTTTTTTTTTTTCTAAAACTGAGAGGGCATTGTATATACACTTTAAAAAGTTTTCTTCTTCCACTTAACTACACATTTTAATCCCTTTGAGTCAATAAATACTTTTCTACATAGTCTAAAATTTTTTATCATGAAAACTTTCAGATATAGACAAAAGTAGAATTTCCATCTATCTCTCTATGTACATTAAAAGTAAACAGTAGTCAAAATATTGCTACTTTTGTTTTATCACCCCTATTTAATTTTGTTTATACCCTAATATATATATATATATATATATATTTTTTTTTTTTTTAAAGACAACCCTCTTTTTTTTTAGATTTTTTTTTAATTGGGGAA